GAACCGTGTATTACAATGCCGTTATGTGATGACTTTCAAAGAGAAAAGCAAGAGCGCTCGGAATTAAGTATTATTTTATTCTTTTAAAATGTTTTCCGGATTTCATATCATATAAACACCAAATCCCAGCATGCATTGCGGCTAAAACATCCAATAAGCGAGCTTAAAACCATAGCTGAGGATCTTGGGTAATCGCTCAAAATGCCTACGTCTGTTTCCGGTTATTTTTATTTTGAAATTCAGTTCCTGATGGACGCCAAAAAAGCCCGAGATTATGGAATTAAACCAATAAATAAAAGCAAGGATAATTGTGTGTTATTGGTTAGTAAATAACAGTGTGTTATTTTGAAAAGAATAACAAATTAGAAGGAAAAAAAGATTTTAAAAATACAGATTTCAGTATCCTGAGGCTCTGAGCCCCATTTATTTTCCTCACAGACGGAAACAAAAGTCCGAAATTATACGATTTAAAATAAAAGCAATAACTGTGGCTTGATATTGAGTAAGAACATGTTTTTATGAACCACACAGCTTCCGGTCTTCCTCGACCCGACCGGAGAAAAAGACGTGCTGCAGGCAGTAGAAATACATTGCTTTTAAAATCGTGCTGTGCAACACGAAAAAAAGGGTCAAATCGTGTTGGTGAACACGAATCAATAGATTAAAAATCGTGTTGGTGAACACGAAATGCCGTGAGACTGGGTTGTTAGACCCGGGGCCCAGTCCAATAGTCCATTTAGCTTAGGAACCTTCCTAACCAAGTGAAATGACCCGGAAGTCCCTCAGTGGCAGCCATGATAAGTGCCGTTCCTAACGTCACACCGTTGCGTTCCTTTGGCGCGAAATTCCATTGGAGGTCAGGAAGTAATTTTCTACAGAGGATCTAGCTGCTGTTACCATTGTGAAAATGCCGGTGTGTTGTGTAGTTTACGGTTGTTCCAATCGATCCGGCCGAGAGAAAAACAAGAGGTTTTACCGAGTGCCGAAGGTTGTCGTCCATAAAGCTGAGCAATTTAAGAAGCTAACCGAAGCACGCCGGAAAAAATGGCTTTCAAACCTACATCTGCGGTCGGGAGGAGCAGAATCGTCTAATGCACGGGTCTGCAGCGACCACTTCATCAGAGGTATTAGCTAACTTGGTTTTTGTGGCTTTGTTTAGGTATTATTGGGTTGTGGTTAAATGCGTATTTAATTAGTAATACTGATCATGTTTAAGTTACCTGTAGTCTAATATGGACTTTTTAGGGTGCCCTAGCGCTTTAGGTAACGTTGAGTCGGTAGACTGGGCTCCCACTGTTAGCCTCGGTTACCACACAACAAGTAAGCCCAGATCAGAGGCATCTCTTCGACGAGAGCAGAGGATGGAGCTCAAGGAAGACCAACAAAGACAATCAGAATGTGCAGAGGCTTTGTTGGATCTCCTGCAGACAACCGAGAGCCCAGAACCGACGCAGCCCCCGTCTGACAGCCCACAACCAGAGGACACCAGTGGGATATTAAATGACCAACAAGGTAAATTAACCACCAGCATTATTATTAAATATTACAAATGTGATTGTCAGAAAATCAATGCAAACTTTGAATTAGGTTTAGAAAATAGAGCACTAATTTGAGAATCTGCAATAATTGGAACAGAGAACTTGCATGTCTGTAAAAAGGTTGTCAAAAAGATAACTTCACAAAAATTCACATTCATATTTGACTATTTTAAATAACTAATTATGCTTGCTACTGATATATTGTATGCAGATGCAGGATGCCAGACTGATTTAATGATGGAGGACATCGAGAGGATGGAGGATGTTCTGAGACAGAACACAACAGAGCTGGGAGATCTTCGGACAAAGGCACTGGACACAAAGTTCAACCAGGAGTCCTTTGAGAACAACGAAGAGAAAACAAAGTTTTACACCGGGCTCCCCAACTTCTTAGTTTTACTTCAGGTTTTTCAACTGTGCGAGCCCTACATCCCCTGTGGCCCTATGTCTGTGCTCTCCAAATTTGAACAGTTCATTTTAGTTTTGCTGAGGCTGAGACTAAATCTCCCTCTGAAAGATTTGGCTTTCAGGTTCAACATCTCTCTCTCCACTGCTTCTAGAATTTGGCATAAGTTAATTGACATACTTCACGAGAGTACAGAATTTATAATTGAGTGGCCAGAGCGACATGTACTTCAAGCTACAATGCCAATGGTATTCAGGCATTTGGATGTAGAGTTGCTGTGATTGTTGACTGTTTTGAAGTTTTTATTGAGAGGCCCTCTAATTTACTAGCTAGCGCACAAACATGGTCCAACTACAAGCATCACCATACTGTTAAATTTCTGATTGGTGTTGCTCCCCAAGGCTATGTTACCTACATATCTTGTGCCTGGGGAGGAAGAGTTAGTGATAAACAGATCACAATACAGAGTGGGCTCCTAAAAAACCTGTTACCTGGAGATATTGTCCTAGCAGACCGTGGGTTCGATATTGCTGATAGTGTGGGATTTTACTGTGCTTCACTAAAGATGCCTGCATTCACCAGGGGGAAAAGTCAGCTGTCATCATACGAGGTGGAAGAGACAAGAAAAATAGCTAATGTGCGTATTCATGTTGAAAGAGTCATAGGATTAGTCAGAAGAAAATATCAGATTCTGCAAAGCAGGGCTGTGCCCATAGAGCACATGCTAACAAAACCAGGTGAGGCACTAGCATTAATTGACAAGATTGGGGTTATTTGCTGTGCCTTGTCTAATCTGTCAGTGTCTGTCGTCCCATTGGAGTAAAGTCATGGAGCTGTAGTCTTGTAAATAAGAAACCATGTATTATTCAGTATCATTTAATCTTTTCAGTAAACATCTTTTTGTGTTCAAACATCTTGTGTTCAAGTCTTTTCAGTAAACATCTTTTTGTGTTGAAAATTGTGTAGCCCTACTCAATATACAACTTTCATCTACATTCAGGCTTAATTCATTCAACAATATTCTAGAGGTGACAATTGGTCTGGTGACGCTCCCATGTATGGCCATTGAGGGTTATTGTAAATGTAAATAAGAAACCATGTATTATTCAGTCTTAGTATCATTTAATCTTTTCAGTAAACATCTTTTTTACAATAGCAATATATCACACAGCCCTACTTCCTCTAGTGAGTGTGGTCAGTGAATATGAAGGTGCTGTAATGCAGGTTAAAGAGCTGCCACTGTGCAAATGTTACGTTCCCTTGTAAATATAGGGGTACAAAGGGAAGTAGCGACACACAACATAACCGGCCGAGAGAAAAAGGAGAGGAAACTGATCTCTGACGTCATAAAGTGGTCTTTTAATTAACACAACGAAAAAGGGCTCACCAGCCAACTTGTCAAACAAAGCTTAAGATAAGGGGAGAGCGACTGCAACCTTCCTCATGTCCTATATGGAGGCGCTGATTGGAGATTGGGAGCACCTGGGGAGATCAGAGGAAGAGAGAAAAAGACACCCACACACACCCAAACACCAGCACCCACTACGGCACGTAATAATAATGCAACAAGGAGAGAACCACAACTTCCGGGACCAGGACAGACCACAGGTGCTGGTAATCACGCCTTCTCTCCCTCCTGATCATCTTGCAACTGAAACTGAAAAATGGAACAGCAGACAGGGAGAGGAGGCTTTTAGTCACCTGATAGTTATGCACCAACATGTTCTTGTGGAAAAAAAATGAGCACACCAACTCTTTATGACTTGTACCTTTCCCCTTGTAAGTTGCTGTCCCAACACTTCAGGGAGAACACATAGTCTGAAGAAACGCTCAACTCTGGGAATGATGTTGTCCCACAGGTCCATATCACGCACAATTCTCTCTACAAAGAGGTCATTTTTAGTCCAGACAACAAAGTCGCAGTAGTCAACATCAACGAGGTGGAGCTGAGCCTGTATTTGATGGTAGTAGGCATGTCTCCTGTCCAGCTTCACAGTGCCCCCATCGTTGACGAGACAGAAGCTTTGTTCTCCAGCACACAGGTGAAGATTGGCCTCCTCTTGTTTGCTGTGTGGGCACTAAAAGTTCAATGAAAAGAAAAGTAATATATTGTACTGTAAATAAGTGTCTGCAGCTCAAAATGTATTGGGAGAGGATCCCCAGACTCAGGATCACGTCACAATCCTATACTTACCCGCTTTACTGTAGCACAATACTGAACAAATAACTTACCTTTATCTCACAGATACCAGTTCCATGGAAGGTGCACGTGACACATCCGTCTGGCGACGCTCCCATGTATGGCCATTGAGGGTTCAGCCAAAGCCCGCTGTCTTTACAGCTGAAACCCTGGTGGTGCAGACTTTGGTACTCCTATCATACTGCTTTCGGGCAGTTGGCCTCGTATTTGCACACACACACACACACACACACACACACACACAGCACACACACACACACACACACACACACACAGCACACACACACACACCACACACACACACACACACACCACACACACACACCACACACACACACACACACACACACACACACACACACACACACACACACATACACACACACACACACACACACACACACACAGCCACACACACACACACACACCACACACACACCACACACACCACACACACACACACACACCACACACACACACACACACACACACCACCACACACACACACACACACACACACACACCACACACACACACACACACCACACACACACACACACACACACACACACCACACACAGTATTTTTATGCATTGAATATTTTTGTGAATCATGTTTTGTAATGATATGAATTTAGTTATAAGTTACTGTACTGTAACTTACTGATATACGTGATCTAATCAGCGCTTATACCACGTGGTTAGAATTGTAAGTTACTTTTCACAACAAGTCGGTATCCCTCCCGTCTGAGAAAAACTGTATACAGTTTGCTTTTCTGATTGGTCTCCCTAATCCCTAATAAATACCTTGTTGCAGCTGTAGAGAACTTGTATGCCTCTGGTAGCATATGGACTGATCAAGGACTTTGATGGCTGTGCAAGACTAGGTCTGTCGAACCTGCTTCAGTCTTGAGGCTGTGATTCCTTCCTGCTCTTTGGCTAAACCATATTGCTGATAAGCTCTGGTTTCTGGTCTCCTCCTCTACTGCCTGGACCTGTGGCTGTGTCAGCTCTTCCTGTCTGAAGTCCTGGCATGCATTCTGCAACTCTGTTGGGGATAGCTGTAGCATCTCTGGTGTCCTATACTGAGGTAGTGGTTTAGGTAGCTTGCTCACAGATTTAGGGACAAATTCTCTGTAATATGGTTCCCTGGACATCAGTGCAGCACTTCTTGGGGAATTTCTGCTCAAAGTCTTGAAAAACTGCATATACCTCTCTGATCCTCGCTCCAATTTTGAACCCTGGACTGTGGGACGCTGAAATGTGTGCTTCTCACCTGTCCTTCCAGCAATGGCATCATCCAGTTTTTGCTTTTTGGATTTTGCAGATGAAAAGTCTATCATCGCAACTGGAGCAGCAGGAATCTGCACATGTGAGAGACAGACCAACATGTATGTGAACATACATGTAGGTGCAGTGTAACAATGAGACAGGCAAGGACGGCATGAACAGCTGACTGACCACTGGGGTCTGAATACCTTTTTGACATGTGATGGCATTAGCCACTTGCACTTCTCAGTGGTGCAGGATGCAGTCTCTCTCATCTTCACACCTGCTTCGATTGCAAACAGAACTGCTCCAACATGTGAGCAGGATTCTGACAAACTGTATAGACAGAGACATACTAGAATAACTAGATTGATCGTAAAAGCTAGTAATGGTATAACATGAATATTATAGCAGGCATTATTTTGTCTGAGCTTAAGTGTTGTGTCAAATATGCTTTGGGTTGGGATATTTATTTTATGACTTACCCAGCCATACAGTTACAGTGTGCTGTAACAACCTCTCCATCTTCTTTAGCTACAATCCACGTTTTTAAAAATGGTGTTTCTCCAGACCTCTGGGAATGGTTGACCTACACAATTGAAGCTCCAGTTCACAACTTGCGAGTTGGTAACATACATTTAACAACATCACAAGCAACACATAACCAGATGGTCTTGGTAAAGAGGTTGTTTTTAATATTAACCTCAACATAGAGTGATATAAACAGTGCAGGCTGTTCAAAGGCTCTGAGCTGTCTATACACACAAAACACAATATATCCTAAGCTAAACACATACACATAACAAACATACACATATATACACACACAACACACTCACAAGCCAGTTAATGCTGAAGGCAAGGCGACAGCCGTAACACTGCCTTACATGAGTCCATGTAGCTAAAGTTAGCTAGCTAGATGTCTCCTAATAATGCTACTTAGAGGTAAGAAGGTATAGGTAGTTAACACTCACCCGGGCAAAAACAAGGCGACATTTGTTTAATGCCTCTTTGGTGCCGAGGTCATTCACCCATCCACACACGAAGTAGTTGAAAGCTTCCAGGCTTTTATACGCTTTCATCTGGCTAGCCGTGTAGTAGGAGCTTATATATACAGTCTATGAGTAGGAGGTATGAAGGACGAGGTAGCTGGTGATATCCATCGCCTCAACAGCGGGCAAATCGGATAAATCACGAGAAAAGTCGGTTTTTTTTCATCTGATACGGATCGTATCCGATGTGTGCTGTGATTTTGTCACGATATCTGCGGCGTGCAGGTTCATTTATTGGTGTGACATAGGCTGCTTCTCAGGTCGATTAAATGAAATCCTTGCTTCCCTCACTTGCGTCGTTTCCCTGCCTATAGTCCCTCCCACCAGGGACGCATGGAGGGACGCAAGGAAACCACGAGAAGCAGGGAAATGAGTTAGTACACATTTACTGACACAAACATTTGTATCATCTGTTGTAGACCCCAATAAATAAAATAAAATAAGAACTAATTCTCAAAAAAGATAAACGCCATTCTTAAAATTTATAAACGGACAATAGTTTGATTAATATTGATTAGAGTGCACAATAGAAATAAAATAATTGAGAGAAGAAAAAGAGATATGTTATCTATCAAAACCCAGTTAGATTAACATTCATTGGATTGCACACTTTGTTTGTTTGTTTGGATATGTAGCAAATTAACATTTTAATAGCACTTAATGACTGACTGAATGGAAATGACAATAAATGAAAATGTAAAACGAAAAAAGCGATCATGAAAATGTTTCCAAAAAATGAATTAAATGATTTTTGACCACTTTGTTGTTCAGATATATCACATATTTGTAACTAAATGAAACATGAATTGAAACAAAACACGGTATAAACTGAGGAGTGACTCCCGTGAGGTTCATGTATTTTTCTTCACTCTGCTCTCATGTCAAGAAGCATCAGATCAGTGCATGCACTGCCTCGTCCAATCAGTGAGCGATACACAGTAAGGGGGGCGGGGTGAGTATCTGAGGATTTCATCGGAGGATGGTCTGGTGGTTCCTCGGTTATCGCTCCTCCATGATCGCTCCTCGCTCCTCGATCCTCGGTCCTCCGGCAGAAATAAGAGCCATGGGACGGTACTCAAGATGGCGCAGGCAAATCAACTTCCGGTGAGACCGAGGACCGAGGAGCGAGGAAATGAAAATAGTCGACCTGAGAAGCAGCCATAGTCGGTGTCCTCCATGATTCCTGCGTTGATGAATGATTGCGTTTTCACTTCCTGACCTCCACTTGAATTTCGCGCGTCATATAAGTCACGTGACTGAAACCAAGCTATTCTCCAAATGAAAGGAAAGGAGGTTTCAAACTTCCTTTATAACCTCCTTTAGTTTAGGAACCACTGGACCTCCCTTACCGAAAGGAGAGGAGAAAATGCTGCCCCACAATGCATTGCAGCCGCAGCATTTGACGTTACACAACAGTCGGCCGTTCATGGACACAAACGATAATGGGAGAAATTATATCATGAAAGTTACGGTGCTTATGACGCATTTTAAAACGTATGTGGTAAGTTGCCAAAGTGCTTTGTTTTGAACGTTCATCAGTATTATAATCAAAAAGAGAAATATGAACGTTAGTTTTTACTGAAATGATCAAATAAAGTCAACATTTCACTGAGCTGTGTGGAGTTTGTTCAACTTTTAAAAGATGTTTGAATGGTGATATACACAGTGATAGATGTTAAGGACTAACGTTTATAATAAATACATTTGTATTTATTTTTAAGATATTTTAATAGTTCATACAATCATACGTATTGGGATCATTTGTATTAATGTGGACCGGAGGGAGAGGGTGACGAGCATAAGTTTCACTTTCCTTTTTTATTTCAATTCTAACTTTGGTCCTGAAGAATATGTTTCTCTGTTGTCCACGTTCATAAAGCATAAAGCAACAGCATCAGAGCACGGTGCAGAGTCTCTAGATGAGTTTACAGTAGTCCCTCGTTCTTATTAAACATCCATGTTGTAGTCCGCTGTATAGAAAACTGTAGTTTCCATAGTTTCCCCACAGCAGCAGACGCACACAATAGGCTTGTTTGAGACACGTTGCGGCTCGCCTCGAAAGTAGACGAGAGTAGCCGATCGCAGCCGGGGGAGGTGTCAAAAAGCTCGTCTTAAGTCGGACAGCTCGGAGTCCATGCTCGGAGTCGGCTTCGTCTTCTTCTTCTTCTCTCGGTTTTTTGGCGGATTGCAAACAACTTTAAGGTGCATACCGCCACCTCCGGAGTCGGCTTGACTCGGTTTGCATTTATAAAGAATGCACACATGTGTTTAATCGTTAATGTCAGATATGTACTAAGTAAATACATTTGTTCCTGCTCCAGATTAGATTCAACTTTATTGTTATTGCACATATTACAGGTACTGAGACAAAAAAATGCAGTTTAGCTTCTAACCAGGTGCAACAAGCATTAAAGTGAAAAGTAATGTACACAATCTACAGAATAAAATATAGAATGAATTGAATGATGAATAAACAGTGAGGGGTATGAATACACTAGATATCAGCCTGTGAGCAGTATGAACAGTGTGTATGAATATGCTAAGATATATAAAGTATGAAAACGGTAAGCAGTATAGTATAAAATATATAGATATTAATTCCATGATGATAAACATTGTGGAACAATGATGAAAAATGGGAATGGATGTGGCGACGTAAAACTGACACAAAACAACAACAAACTTTTGCCAGCCAATTGGAGAGTTTCATCAGCAGCACGTGGTAAAAACCACCAATGAGCGCTCAGCTCGAGATACCAGCGAGCCGTTTCCCATCAAGCATTTCGCTTCCGCAGCCCGTGGAGAGCAACTGCGCCAACTTGCCTCGCCTCGCTCTCAAGGCTGCGGGCGTCTTTGTCCCGCGAAATTTCAAAGTCTCATGTGGGCGGGCCTACAGAGCAAGTCGGACAAAATGACTAACCATCATGCAACGCACTAGCAAGACGTTGATCGAAATTGCGCAGGTCTGCGCAGGTCTCGCTTGTCTCAAACAAGCCTAGTGACGTCCGCTGGCGCATCATAAACACGTCGGATAGTGAAAGTGCATTCGGATTCTCTAAAGCAGGGGTCCCCAAACCCCGGGCCGCGGACCGGTACCGGTCCGTGGGTCATTTGGTACCGGGCCGCAGAGAAAAAATAAATAACTTACATTATTTCCGTTTTATTTATTATCTGAGTTTGAACAATGTTTTATTTTGAAAACTGACCGGATTCCCTCTGTTACATCCGTCTATGCCGCTAATCCGTTGCCGCTAAAAGGAAACCCACAAACTAGCAAAATGAGTAAAAAACAAACATCTTTGGAAAGTTTCTTTGCGAAGGGAAAAAGGCCCAGTGAGGAGACAGAAGAAGAGCCTACGACTTCCAAGAAAAAAAAAAGCTGCATTTAACAGACAATACCAGGAGTCCTACTTAAAATATGGATTTATCGCAACAGGTGATGCCCGCGCACCAAGCCCGCTCTGCATAATATGCGGCAACCGGCTCTCTAATGAGGCAATGAAGCCTTCAAAACTGCTTCGCCACTTGGAGACCAAGCACCCTGCATTAAAAGACAAGCCTTCGGAGTATTTTGAAAGAAAAAAGCATGAACAAGAAGGACAGAAGCAATTCCTGAGGGCCGCCACATCAACAAATGCGAGTGTACTGAGAGCATCATACTTGGTGGCTCACCGTATTGCTAAGGCTAAGAAGCCATTCACCATTGGTGAAGAATTGATCCTGCCCGCCACTAAAGACATTTGCCGTGAACTTCTAGGAGAGGCTGCGGTTAAAAAGATAGCACAGGTGCCTCTTTGTGCTAGCACCGTCACTCGGCGCATTGAGAAAATAGCAGAGGACATTGAGACACAATTGTTGGAGAGGATTAATACATCACCGTGGTACGCACTCCAGGTTGACGAGTCTACAGATATTGACAACAAGGCAATACTACTTGTTTATGTGCGATATCTTTATCAGGAGGATGTGCATGAGGATATGTTATGTGCTCTATCGTTGCCAACCAAAACCACAGCCGCAGAACTATTCAAGTCGCTGGATGATTATATATCAGGAAAACTGAAATGGTCCTTTTGTGTCGGCATATGCACAGACGGAGCTGCTGCCATGACCGGACGGCTGTCTGGTTTAACTACTAGGATTAAGGAGGTCGCACCTGAATGTGAGTCTACGCATTGTGTCATTCACAGGGAAATGCTGGCTAGCCGAAAAATGCCACCGGAATTTAACAGCGTATTGAATGATGTCGTTAAAGTTATTAACCACATCAAAGCACACGCCCTTAACTCGCGCCTGTTCGAGCAGCTTTGTGAGGAGATGGACGCGGAGCACAGACGCCTTCTCTTATACACAGAAATAAGATGGTTATCCCGAGGGAGATCGCTGGCCAGAGTGTTTGAATTACGAGAGCCGCTGCAGAGATTTCTCTCAGAAAAGAAGTCACCGCTGGCAGCACATTTCAGTGACAAGGAATGGGTCGCAAAACTCGCTTACTTGTGCGACATATTCAACCTGCTCAATGAACTCAATCTGTCACTTCAGGGGAAAATGACAACTGTCTTCAAGTTGGCAGATAAAGTAGCTGCATTTAAAGCCAAACTGGATTTGTGGGGACGGCGCGTGAACAGAGGTATATTTGACATGTTTCAAACATTCGCGGGGATTTTGGAAGAGACTGAGCCCGAGCTTTCATTCTCCCAGATGGTGCATGATCACCTGTCTTTGCTTTTAAAAGAGTTCGAGCGCTACTTCCCAACCACAAAAGACCCACGAACTGCCAAGGAATGGATCCGCGACCCATTTGTCAACAAACCAGGTGAATCAAGCATGTCTATGCAAGAAGAAGATCAACTGCTGGAGATCGCAAATGACGGCGGCCTTAAAAGTATGTTCGAGACAACAACTCTGCCGGTGTTCTGGATTAAAGTCACGGCAGAATACCCTGAGATCGCCACAACAGCACTGAAAACCCTGTTGCCATTTCCGACATCCTATTTGTGTGAAGCGGGATTTTCTGCAGTGACAGCAACCAAAACAAAATTACGGAGTAGACTGGACATAAGCA